GGAGAAGAGAGGAGTTTTTGGCCTTATGACACCAGGCGAGCACATGTCTGCTGTGTCCGCTCGGGGACCCACAGGCTGCCCGGGGCACGCTTGCCCCACTGCCGTGATTCTCCATCTCTGCTGTCTGCTGCAGCCATCCCTCTTCCGAGGGGCCTCCCCTCAGCCACAGGCCTGCCCCATGACTTCCTGACAAGGATGGCAGCCAAGGTGCTGTTTGACTTCTGTCCCTTCCTATCTTGCTGTTGTTGTTGTTGTGTGCTATCGAATCGGACCTGACTCATAGTGACCCTTCCTTGGGTTTCCGAGGTGGTATCACTACGGAAATAGGTTGCCCAACCTTCCTTCCGAGGAGTGGCTGGTGGGTTTGAACCACCCGTCTTCTGGTTAGCAGTCAAGTGCCTTAGGCACTATGCTACCAGAGCTCCTTCCTATCTTGCTAGAGGAACATTTTTGAAGCCAGGCAGTAATAGGCAGAGGGAAAGGGCTGGATAATCCATACTTTTCTGATATTCCTGTTCCTCTCATTTTAAGGATGTAGAAAGTGAAGTTCACTGAAAGGGGGTGACTTGCCCAAGGTTATAGTCAAATAGTATCAGTGCTGGGCCTGGAATCCATATCTCCCAGTTCAAAGCCCTTCCAGGCACCTTAACTCTTCTCTGGATCAGACCTGATACCTTTTTTTAGCACAGGCTGGCTTTTTTCCTATCATCCAGCAAGATTTCACGTGGGTTTTTACTACTTTCAGTGACTGTGAGTGCAAGGAATACAAATGGAATATACAAACCCAAAAGAAACATAATTGTCCGGTCTGCTAAAACTCATACAATATCCTTTAATACCAATTGTGGATGACTTATTATATAAATATATGAAAAGATTCTTAAAATCAATATGATATTTGTTATACTGGAAGGGTGTTCATGGTGCCATGGGACTCCAGAAGAGGAAATTCAACCTTGGGGAAAATAGACCCTGTTTCTCAGAGGTGAAATATTTGAGTAGTCTTGAAAGGATGAATAGGAATTTATCTGAAAGGGATGGGAGGAAGAGAGAATATTTCAGAAGAAGAGAAACAGCATTTTCAAAGACAAAGAGTTTGCTGTATTCAGGAGATAGCAGAGGCAAGGACAGCATGGTAAGGACAGGGTATATGGCATATGAAGCTAGAGATGAGAATAGAGAAGAGAAAAGTCTATCTTGAAAAGGGCTTTGAATATAAAGCTAAGGATTTTGACTTTTAAGGCCAGGGGAAGTAGAGAATGTAGGATGAAGAAGACGAGGTATGACCTGGTCAGTTCTTTCTCTTTTTTCCATTCTGCTGCTGAGGATGTTACTGTGCCTAATATTTGAACATCTGGTACCAAGGATTTGGAAGTCTTGTAGAAATCATTTTTAATAATTGGAGCAGCATGTCTGTCCTGGAGAGGTGGATGAGGAGGGTCTCCCTAAAACCAAAAACACCAAACCCACTGCCATTGGGTTGATTCTGATGCAAGCAACCCTCATTGGGTTTCCGAGGCAGTAAATCTTTACAGAAGTAGATTGTCTAGTCTTGCTTCCATGGAGTGGCTGGTGGGTTTGAACCACCAACCTTCTGGTTAGTAGTCAGATGCCTTAGGCAGTGTGCTGCCAGAGCTCCTTGAGAGTCTCCCTAGAGACAACCAAACAGAAGGGAGATTCCTTCTGATTCCCCTGGATGATGCCACCCATGGAGAGTATCCCTCTCTATTTCTGGCCATTGTTCCTGGCAAGCTGGAGAATATCCAAGAGATTCCAGATCCAGTTCTTTCATTAAAGTCCATCGTTCTGTGAAGGCTGAGAGAGTTTATTTTGAGGGTGGAGTTTATTTTAAGCTATTATTTTGCATGATTTTTCAGATTTTGACTTTCCTCGCATGTTGGGAGCTCTGGTAGCATAGTGCCTACTTGACTGCTAACCAGAAGGCTGGCGGTTCAAACCCACCAGCCACTCCTTGGAAGGAAGATTGGGCAATCTACTTCCATAGCGATACTGCCTCAGAAACCCAAGGAGGGGTCACTATGAGTCGGGTCTGACTCGATGGCAAATAACAACAACAGCACATATCAGTTAGCTTTTGCTACAGAGCAAACTTCCCCAGAACTTAGGGTTTGAAACAACCACCATTTACCACCATTTATTTAGTTTGTGATTCTACAGGTTGGCAATTTGTGCTGGGCTGGGTGGTTCTTCTGGTTACAGTTAGACTTGGCTGATCTCAGCTGTGTTCTCGCCTGTGTCTGTGTTCAGCTGGTGGGTCAGCTGTGCCTGGCTGGTTTATGACAGCCTCAGGTGGGACTTCTGAGACCTTTCTCTACATGGGCTCTTATTTTCCAGCAATCTAACCTGGGAATGTTTAGTCTTAAAGTTCTAAGAGCAAGAAAAGAATCATACCAAGCCTCTTAAGGTCTAGACTTGGAAACTTGTTCAGTGTCACTTTTGTTGCATTCTTTTGGCCAAAGCAACTCACAAGGCCAGCCTAGATTCAACAGCTAGAGAATAGACTCCACATTTGATGAGAGGATAACAAAGACATGGATGCAGGGAGGGGAAGAATTTTTAAATCAACCACCCAAGCTATCCTACTTTAATAACCAGAAAGAGTTGATAACTGCGGTTATTGCTTTACCATGAATAGGATAGGAAGAATCTTTTGAAGTCAAAGTTAACATTCATGGGGGATCATGTGCTTTCACAAAAACAAAACAAAACTCCCAAACTCACTGCTGTCGAGTTAGATCTGATTCATAGCGACCCCTCCTTGGGTTTCTGAGGCAGTATCGCTATGGAAGTAGATTGCCTGCTCACAAGTACTATCTAATTTAATCCTCAAAACAACTCTTATTTTTCTTTTCTATTTTACATATGCAGAAACTGGGACACAGAAGAGTTAAGTATGGTTAAATGACTTGCCTAAGGTCATTGGATGGTAAATCTGATATTTTGGACTTATGTTTCTCTGACTACAAGTCTAGAGCAACTGCCATTGTTTTGTTCTTTTCTATTTTGATGAGTTGAGTCAGAGAAGATGGAGGTGTTACAGTTGCACTCATTGCCATAGCCAGCCCCTTTCCAGGTTATCCTTATCCCTGAGCATAGGCACCTTGCCCTATTCAGGAGGCTCAGGAGCCCATTAGCCTGAGGAATGTGTTGGAGTCTGTTGAATTTGAACTCACGGTGTGTGTGTGTGTGTGTGGAGGTGTTGTGTGGAGAAGCCTAGCAAGTGATCTCTGTGCCCTATGAACAGGCAGAGAGGGCTTGATTTTCTCTGGCTAGAGCCTGCTAGAAGCCCATGGAGTTCAAGATTGTTAAACTAGTCTACATGGTACTTGTATGGATTGTTACTTGTATGGGTAGTCTACATGGATTGTTAAACCTGCTACATGGTACTCTTAATGGCTGGAGTTGTCACCTGAGCTAAATTGAACATCTGGAGCTTGACCAGCAGTGGGAGCTAGGCTTTCAGAGCTAAGAAATTGGGGGTAAGAGCAGCAGGAAGGCATCTGATTGTCAGACTCAGAGCAGGGCTGGGCCTATAGTAGCATGGCTTATGGGGAGGGGAGGAAAGTAGGGTCAGGCAAGGACAAGGATGAGAGGAGAGCACAGGGGCTTATAGGGCAGGCTTCTAAAGCTATGGTCATGTCCTGAATACCTAGGTGGTAAGTATAGTAGAGGGTCAGCAAAAATGAAGACCCTTAACGAGATGTATTGACACAATGGCTGCAACAATGGGTTCAAACATAGGAACAATTGTGAGGATGGTGCAGGACTAGGCAGTATTTCACTCTCTTGTACATAGGGTCATGTGAATTGGAACCGACTCCACATGGCAGGCCATTAATTCAAGTCCATTGAAAGTCCTAAGGTCAGCAGAGCATGGCAGGGTACTGAACAACAACATGGCTACATGCAGGGTTCAAGCATGCCATAAGCTAGAGACCACTTAACAACAACAAAGGATAGGTTATAGCATCAAACACAGCTCATTTTGGTACAGTGGTGTTTTGGTTACCTAGTGCCACTCTGACAGGAATATACCACAAATGGGGTGCTTGAACAAACAGGAGTTTATTCTCTTACAGTTTGGAGGCTTTATGTCTGAGTTCAAAGTGCCAGGCTCAAGGGCTGGGTGAAAGCCCCTCAACCATGGGCTTCAGCTCTGCCTCCTGCTCCCAGCCCACTGGAGCTAGGGGCTTTTCTTCACTCAGACAACTGCTGGCTGCTGAGGCTGACAAACCCAAGGTTGACAAGTAAAAAGGCACAGTTCTGATGTTACTAAACCACATGGCAGGCCATTAATTCAAGTCCATTGAAAGTCCAAGGTCGGCAGAGCATGGCGGGGTACTGAACAACAACATGGCTACATGCAGGGTTCAAGCATGCCATAAGCTAGAGACCACTCCCAGAGCTGCTGTTTATATACGGGAAGCAGACCACTCAGCTGCTTGTGGTAGATCCCACTATGGAGCTGATTACCAGTTTCATCATGGGGAATAACTACCACCAGCTGCCCAGCCACACAACCAGGCCCAACCAAGTTGGCACACAACTTTAACCACCACAAGTGGATATTGGTGCATACCTTGCTGCTGTGTATTAGAAATCTGTGTGTCTAGGCCTTATGTATGGGAGCTCTGGTAGCATAGTGCCTAAGGCACTTGACTGCTAACTAGAAGGCTGGTGGTTCAAACCCACCAGCCACTCCTCGGAAGGAAGATGGGGCAATCTACTTCCGTAGTGATACTGCCTCGGAAACCCAAGGAGGGTCGCTATGAGTTGGGTCTGACTCGACGGTGCATAACAACAACAACAACAAGGCCTTATGTATAGTTTGCCATGTTGTTCTGACTCTGCTGTCTTTTTTTTTTTTTTTTCTTTTTCTCCCAGAACTCATTTCCTGTCCTGGATGTAAGCGAGTGTACCTTACCAGGGATGTAACTGAACATTTTTTTCTGCAGTGCTTTCCTACTGGCCAACCCAAGATGGCCAGGGTAAGTTGAGATAAGGAAAGAAGCAGTTGAGCCCTTTCAGAAATCTGTGGAGCCTCTGTCCATAAGTCTGTCTACCCACTCATCTCTCCAAATGACTTTTTACCCCTCCACCAATTTGTCTACTCATTCATCCATCCATCCACCCTTCTATCCAGAAGAGAAACAAAATATTTTGAGTTGAGGAAACCAAAATGTGTGTTTTCTATTAAGTGACAATTACTGTCTTTTTGTCTTTTGTGTCGATGCTTTGAGCATAAGGTAAGGATTTTCCTTTGTAATGTATCTAGGTGTTTTTCCCTCTCTTACAGTTCTTATTGAAAAATACAAATACTGAGCTTTTATTTCCTTTACTTCCACCAGCCTGGATTAAAGAGCTCATCAATCTTGCCTATATTTAAAATAAATTTTAATTTCATATCCTTTTCCTGAGTTCCTGAAACGGCACATTAGGTACTGACTGGTACTCCTCCGTTTCATCTCCATCAGGGTATCCTTGCCACTGCATTTTATTAATGTGCTTATTTACTTACTTGTTCCTATATATAATTCTTACCGAATGCCTGACATTTGCTGGGCACTGTGCTGGGTGCTAAGGAGATAGAGACTCATGTTCTTTAACCTCAAACAGTTTAATTATAATTAGTAAAACTTGTATTTCTCCTGCCCCACATCCCTTGCCATAGTTTTGTCAGATGCCAGTCTGAAGACAAAGTTCTCAGAATCCACATCAATTTGGTGACCTATTTGATTTGGACTGAATTTGTGGAGTTACACATTTGGTGGCAGGAAGTGTTAGTGGAGCCTTCTAGTCTTTCTGTGCTTTATTCTGTGTTTTAAAGTCAAAAGAAGAGAAGAAACACGTGGTCATTGGCCCAGTGTACTTTGTCCAAAATGACTGTTTTGCCTTTCAAACAGCACACAGTGCTATGTTTGATATGCTTATTGGGCTTTCTGATTGAATTATGACTTACATCAGTGGTTTTCAAACTCTGTAATTAAAGCTCTTCTTTAGGTATGTCTTATGTGAACAAGAGATAAAACAGATGAACTTCTCTGCCTTTCTAGCCCCTTCTTGTCCCTGAAGAGAGGCACTCTGATGGTACAGTGGTTAGGGCATTTGGCTGCTAACCAAGAGGGTGGTGGTTTGAACCCAGCAGCTGCTCTCTGGAAGAAATAAAAGGCTATATGCTTCCATAAAAATTTACAGCCTTGGAAACCCGATGGGGGTCACTAAGAGTCAGAATCAACTTGATGGCAGTGAGTTTGGTTTTGTCCCTGAGGAAAAGAGCTCTAGTTGTGCTGTGGTTAAAGCACTGGGCTGCTAACCAAAGGTCAGTGGTTCAAACCCATCACCAGCTGCTATGCAGGATAAAGATATAGCTGTCAGCTACTGTAAACATTTATAGCCTTGGAAACCCTGTGAGGCAGTTCTACTCTGTCCTATAGCATCTCTATGGGTCAGAATCGACTTGATTGCAGTGGGTTTGGTTTTTCCTTTTGGGCCTGAGGTGGTTCCCAAGCACAGCTTGAAAGCCACTAGTAGGCAAGCGTGGGCATCCTGCTGACTGCCCCTCAAGGCAAAACTGACACCTAAGTTTCATCTTCATCTTCTACTTCACCCTCCTGACACCTCGTTTTCCAGACATGATAACTGCCGAGTATGCTTATACCTTCAGGCTTTTACACGTTTTCTTTTTCCACAGTGCCCTTCCGTCTTCACACTGTAGCGTATTCCTACTCATTCTAAGCATTACTTCATTTGAGAATTCTTCCCTGATACCCCTCAGGCTGGGTTAGGTGTCCCACTTTGATTGTTCTTCTATTGCAACACCTCTAAAATAGTGGAGGAATGACCCTACAGGACCCCAGAGCATTTGCTGCCCTATGGGTAGGCCCAAATGAGGATATTGTCAGTAACCCCAGAACTCTCTGCTTCTAGAGCTGCTCGGAATGCAAGGAGAAGAGGGCGGCACACATACTCTGCACCTACTGCAACCGCTGGTTGTGCAGCTCCTGCACTGAGGAACACCGGCATGGCCCTGCCCCAGGGGGCCCGCTCTTTCCCCGGGCCCAGAAGGGATCTTCAGGTACCAAGCCTCCCTCTCCTCACAAGTTTACATGCCTCAAAGTGAAGAACTCTAAAACCCCTGGAGCTCTCTGGCCTTGTTTTCCTGCTGGGATTGAGGATGGGCTAGTCTCAGAGCTTATCCCAAGGAATAGTTTTTTTTTTTCCCCCATGGGTCAATGCATTTTTTTTTGTTTTGCCATGTTCCCTCCCCTCCCCTCCCCTCCCCTCCCACCCCTAGTAACCAAAAAAGAAAGTTTCCCTCCATATATAAACATTTCCTTGACCCTCCACAACAACGAACTAATACTATATTTGTCCTTCTGTGAATGACTTATTTCACTCAGCATAATGTTCTCCAAATTCATCCATATTATGCGGTGTTTTGCAGACTCTACATTATTCTTTAGTGCTGCATAGCATTCTGTTATGTGTATGTACCCTAGTTTGGTCATCCACTCTTCTGCTGATGGGTAGGTAGGTTATTTCCACTTTTTGCTATTGTAAATAGTGCTGTGATGAACGTGAGCGTGCATGTATCTGTTCCTGTCCTGGCTCTCACCTCTCTAGGATATATACCTAGTAATGGGATTGCTGGGTCAAATGGTATCTCCACTTCCAGCTTTCTAAGGAATCACCATATTGCTTTCCACAGTGGTTGCATCACTTCATAGTCCCACCAGCAGTGTATGAGAGTCCTAATCTCTCCACATCCTTGCCAGCGTTTGTTATTTTCTGTCTTGTTGAACCTGGCAATCAGTGCTAGGGGGTGAGATGGTATCTCATCGTCGTTTTGATTTGCATCTCTCTGATGACCAATGATTGTGAGCATCTCTTCATGTATTAGCTGGCCACCTGAATATCCTTCTTGGTGAAGTGTCTATTCATGTCTTCTGCCCATTTTTCAACTGGATTGTTAATTCTTTGGTGTTGAGGTGTTGGAGTTGTCTATAAATCTTAAAGATAAGTCCCTTGCCAGATATGTGATTATCAGCAAATATGAATTTGTTCCTGTCATTTTTGTTATGTGTTTTTTCGTGGTGTCGATTTCTTTGTTCCGTATAATTTTCTATGCTGAGCTCGTTTTGTTTATGATTTGTGTTATCAGTTCCTTTGTTGCTATTGTTTTAGTATTTGCTAAATACTTGTGCTGGTCCTCTTTTTTATTTTGATATGAAGGTTTATCATTTTTCTTTGAGGTTGCCCTGTGATTTATAGTTTTCTTCCCAAGTTTAGAACAGTCCGTTTTATCTTGTAGTTGTCTTGACATCTCTACCATCTGGAAGTTCTGTAACAACACAGTTTGTTCCCTCTTTTTGGTTTGTAGTTGTCCTCATTTGTCAATTGATGTCTCTGGTTCCCTGTTTACAATCTTGTTGACTTATTTACTTTGGATACTTTCATAGCTGGGTTGGTTTCTGGGTTATATCATCATGTGTGTTAATGGTCAGTTGTTGTTGACTATTGTTGCTTCTCTGTCCAAAGGACTCCCTTTAGCATCTCTTGTAAGCTTGGTGTGGATTTAACAAATTCCCTTAATTTCTGCTTATCTGGAAATGTCCTAGGAATAGTTTTGTATTATCATGGAAGCTAGATGAGTTCCCATTCTTTTACTTCTATTTAGAGCAATTATGGTTCACTTCTATTTAGTTAGTGAAGTACTTTACTGCCTGGATTAGGGCTTGTCCATTTGTCCATTCAGCACCATTTGTTTTAAATGACAATCTTCTTGAAAGTCTTTTCCCAAGTTCCTTGAACTATGGAAGGGGTTTCTCCTTTGTCCAACCTGTTTGAATCAGCTTTCATGACCTATGTATGTGTCCATAGACCAGAACCTGGCAAGTCTGGGTGACTGGTTTCAGCCTCATTGCAACAGAATCTTGGTCAATGAGCAGGTTTGGGTTGGACTGTGGAATGCCTGGGCCATGATGGTGGTTTTCTCTGGACAGCCAGACACATCAGTCTAAGCCTGCCTTCTTCTAAGGCTGCCTCTGGAGCCTCACTGGCTTAGACAGAGTCATCTCCTGTTTGTGCCATCTTTCCTCCAAGTTCTATATTTCCTCTGTACCCATTGAGGGCTGAGGGTTACTCAGTGGAGCTAAGTAAGAGGCCTACCTGTGCTAGAGAAGCCCTCTTTCTCCATCTTCTCTGGCAGGAGTGAATGGTGGTTCTGGGGACTTCGCTTTGTACTGCCCTCTACACACACAGGAAGTGCTCAAGCTGTTCTGCGAGACCTGTGATGTGCTTACATGCCATAGCTGCCTCATGGTGGAACACAAGGAACACAGGTGGGGCTGGCTGCTGGCTGCCTGAAAGGGGCTTGGGAGGGCTCTGGATACTTTAGTCGTGAGAGCTCTGGGCTCCCAGCACATCAAACTCCTGTTCCTGTCCAAGCCAACCTGCATCCCTGGGCTTATCTGAAGTTTTTCTCTGCTCCTGTTGTGGGACTTCTTTGGAGAAGGCCTAATGGGCCAAGAGCCTGCAGTATCTCTGAGTTTCTGTAGATGTATCACAGTGCCCATGAGCCTGACTGAGACACACAAGTTTGTGCTTGGCCAGCATATGCAGGCTGGGATACAATGCTTCTCAGCTTTTTTGTAATGCCTCCTTCTCTAGGTGCAGACATCTTGAAGAAGTTTTGCAAAACCAGAGGATGCTTCTGGAAAGTGTGACTACACAAGTGGCACATAAGAAATCCAGTCTACAGACATCTGCAAAGCAGATTGAGGACAGGTAGCACAGGCCAACTCCTTGCCAGTACTGGGAATGCTGTTTCCTCACATCCTTCCAATACCAGGTCATCAGTTGTAGGGATTATGAAGAGGACATGCAGTTAAGCAAATGAGGGCAAATGTTCTAGAGGGTGTATGTCTCAGCCTTAGAGGTCCCAGGGCCAGTGAGGGGATCTTAGGATCATCATAACTAAGGCCAACCTTGGTTGGGATAATCAGAGTAAGTTTGGGCCAAAGCATTTGTCTTTTGCAAGCAATCATGAACTAGCCAAAGGTAGGTGGCTGAGAATAAGAGTTGTTGTTGTTATGTGCCGTCGAGTCGGCCCCGACTCATAGCGCCCCCTCCTTGGGTTTCCGAGGCAGTATCACTACGGAAGTAGGATTGCCCAACCTTCCTTCCGAGGAGTGGCTGGTGGGTTTGAACCGCCAGCCGTCTGGTTAGCAGGCAAGTGACTTAGCCACTATGCTACCAGAGCTCATATTGGGGAAGAAATTGCTTTTAATCACGAGGGTGCAGTAGCCAGTGGCAGTCTGCCCTTTACCAGTCCCTTCTAATGTTTTTCATGTAAATCTACAAATGACATGATACCATGGGTATTTTAGATAGGAAGAGGAATTTGTAAGTACTAAGAACTTATGTGCCAGACACTGAGTTGGGCATTATATATTATTAGTTTGTTCAAATATTATAATTCTTTGAGGCAGGAATTATCTCCATTTTATGGTTGAGAGACTGAGGTTCAGAGAAGTGAGGTGACTTGTCTGAGATCACACAGCTGGTCAATGAGCTGGGCTTAGAAGTTAGGTCTATGTGACTTCAAAGCCCATGTACTTTTTTTTTTTTTTTAAATAATGCTTGTTGCTATGTAACTTACATACCATAAAACTCACTTTTTGAAAGTATATAATTCAGTGGGTTTTAGTATATTCACAGAGTTGTAACCATCACCACTGTCTAATTTTAGAATATTTTCATCACTCCAGAAAGAAACTCATACACACTAGCAGTCACTTCTCATTCCCTCCAACACCCTTTGGTCCTGGCATCCACTAAACTCCTGTCTGTTTCTCCCATGCGCTTCCTACTGCATGGCAGTGGTTTTTAGAACAACTTTCTTAAGACAATAAATTATATGAAATCTGAATGAAACAAATCAGTGTCTCCAGCCCTGCTTCTAGTACTGTGTGAAGCCAATGGGCTATGGACTTGAGGATTACCGAGAGAAAACCAAACTGGGCATTGTTTCTCTTTGATCAAGTGGGCTGGGTTGTGCAAAGGATGGGTGGTAGGAGGATGAGTCTCTTCTTTTTCCACTTGTTGTCTGCCAGGCCCTGATCTCAATAAGCAGCCTTTAAGTCATTGGCTCTTATGTCTGCTATCTCTAGGCCTGCAGTAGGCCTGGAGTGAAGGACTCACCACGTTCTTTTCCACTTGGCTTACAGGATTTTCGAAGTGAAACATCAGCACAGGAAGGTGGAAAACCAGATCAAAATGGCCAAAATGGTGCTGATGAATGAGCTGAACAAACAGGCCAATGGACTCATAGAGGAGTTGGAGGTATATGTGGGCAGATGAGTCAGATGGATGGGGGCCAGAAACCAGGCACATATCAAACTAGTCCCTGTACCCAGAGAAGCCTCGTCTGGAATTCATATGTGCAATTCCTTAGCTTCCTGCTGCAACCTCTGTCTTAAAATGCCCAGTTTCATTTTGGGAGGGTGGTTCATTAAGGGCTGGAAAATCAGTTCAAACTCTCATCAGTGCTATTCTTTTCAGGCACTGCCCTCCTGGGCCATGCAGGTTCATAGCCTTGGAAGAGAAAGGCACAAAACACCCCACTTCCTTCAGCAAGTTATGCCCAAGAGATGTTGACATTCATTTATTTCTTCCTTCTTGTCACTTGTTCCATGTTTTCCTTATAAAATCTACACACACTTCTTCCCTCCCACCCTCTATCACTGCCCATGGCATCATTCTCAGTCCTGCTATCCCCTTTCAGTCAGTGTTCACACTGGCACACAACATGTCAGATGGCTTCCCAAACAGGTGGATGGCAATATAAGAACCAAAATAAATAAATAAATAAACAAACAAATCAAACCCACTGCCATCAAGTCGATTCCAACTCATAGCAACCCCTATTAGGTTTCCAAGGTAGTCAACCTTTATGGAAGTAGATTGCCCCATCTTTCTTCCACAGAGTAGCTGGTGGATTTGAACCACCAACCTTCTGGTTAGCAGTCAAATGCCTTAGGCACTGCATCACCAGAGCTCCTTAATATAAGAAGAAGGTCAGGGAATCTGTCTTCTCTGTACCCAGGGCATTACTAATGAGAGGAAGCGGAAGCTGGAGCAGCAGCTACAGAGCATCATGGTTCTCAACCGTCAGTTTGAGCATGTGCAGAATTTCATCAATTGGGCTGTCTGCAGCAAAACCAGTGTCCCTTTCCTTTTCAGCAAAGAGCTGGTAAGAGAAACCTCAAACTCCTCAGCCTGTACTTGCACCTGCACAGAACATCACCTCTATCCTAGGGTCAGTGAGGCTGTCCCTGGAAGTCATTCTTTAGAATGAATGGATGGGTAAGGTAGCAGCCCCATCCATCCTGCAATTTCAGACACATTCTTGAGTTATAGAGTGAAACGCAACATATCCTAGGTGCTAAAATGATCCTGCTTTCTCCCCAGGTAGCTCACCTGGGAAAGTCTGCAGTTCTTGGTCTCAGGTCATGGATTCAGTCATTATCCTAGAAGTGTGCTGTATATCCAATAGAAAGTTGTTGGGGATTGAACGGAGTAGTGGTGGGAAAAGAGGAGTATTGAGGATGATGTTGAAATTCTGGCCTTGGGAGGATGAGGATGCCCAGGGGTAGGAGTAAGATTTCTGAGAGATGTTGATGGGATTTATATTTGGATATATTAGATCTAAAGTACCTATAGGTCATTGGAGCAGAGATGTCTAAAACCTGTTTTGATATATGGGCCTGGAAGTCAGAATAAAGGTTAGGGTGAGAGAAAGATTTGGGAGTCACAGGGATGTTGGTGATATCACCTTGGAAAAGTGTGTGGAGGAAGAAGAGAATAATAATTCTGGAACCTAGAGAAATACCATAATACTCCGCATAAATAGCAGAAGAGGAAAAGCAGTGAGTGAAGAGCAATATTTAGAGGTCAGAGGAGAACTGGAGAGTATGGTATACAGGAACTAACAGAGTTCCAAACTTCAAGTGGTCTGTGGTCATCAATTCTATGTAGATGAAAGAAGATGAATAGTGAAGAGAAGCCTTGAGATCTTGGAATCAGGAAATCTCTGGTGATGTTCCAACCCTGCCAACCACCACCAGTGATTGTTTTGAAAGACATTCCATAAAGTAGAGGACTCAAAGAAGGGAAATAAGAAGGTAGCTTGAGAAGAGATACGTGGTAGAGTTAGCATACTGAGAAGGTAGGAGGAAGTGGGATCTGAAATGAATGGATTGATCTTAAACTTAAGGGACACTTCTTTCCTCTGAGATACGAGGACAGGAAGGTATCAGTATAATATAGATAAGTTCAAAGGTAGAAAGGATATAAGTTGATGGGAGTTTGCTCTTTATGGTCTCTGTGAAAGGAGATGAGAATGAAAATGTTAGACATTAAGTAAGTGACATCAAGGAGACAAGTGCAGATTTTAAATAGTCATTAAGGACAGTGAAAGAGGAGGCTCACCAGTGACAAAAAAAAAAAGGGGGGGGGGAGGACTGAGGGGTGCCCCCAAAACAGCCTTAGATAACGTGGCTTTGGGGTGGATGGATTGACCTAAGTTTAGGAAATGGTGAGGTGGAGAGCATTAAGACACTAGTGCTTGTTATTGAAAATTATAGGAAGCTGGGAATGCTCTATGGACTGCTGGAGCAGGACTTGGAAAGTTGAAGAGCATGCCCTGAAAGAGCTAGAGCTAGTTGGTCAGGGAGTAGGTTGTTGGAGTTTAAGCTCTGAATTGTTCTAGCTGATGATAGAGATCTAGGTATGGTGACTGAACTGAAAATAGAGGTGAAGGTGATTGACACTTAACAGCTCAAGGAAGTAAGAAGCCAACATGTTGATTGGTACATTAGTTCCCTTGGTGATGGCAGGATTAAAGTGAACACTTTCTAAAGTCCTAATTAAGTCGTAAATTGAGTGAGGAAGGAAGAGGTCAAGTGAGTAGGATGGATGGGTGTTTTACATGGTGGTGAAAGAGCAGCAATGCAAGCTCACAGAATGTCCACTTACAGGCTTGAAAATTCAAGTTATGGGAGAATGAATAGAACACCCTCAAGAGGGCTGCTAGAGAAGTGATATCCTGAGGGAGAATTCTAAGTCACTTGAGGTCTAGGAGAGATAAGGATGTAAGGGTCTGAGAAGCCTTGATGGGGTCAGCTATGGGAGGCCTGTTGGGATGGATGAGAAGGGGAGGTATTAAGTTGCAAGGAAATAAGCATATGGGGGAAGAACAGAGGCTAAAGGGCCATGACTTTGAGCTCTTCAGTCTATCTAAAGGGTGAGGGAGAGGGAGTTGTCATCAAGACACAGGATGCCCAAAGAAATGACCTTTGGTGCTGTTGTCAGATTGTGTTTCAGATGCAGCGATTGCTGGAGACAAGTTGTAATACAGATCCTGGTTCCCCTTGGAGTATCAGATTCACCTGGGAACCTAACTTCTGGACCAAGCAGCTGGCTTCCCTTGGTGAGCTGGGACCCACTGTGTGGGCTTTTACATAACTGCTAAGAATGAGGCACTTTACTGATAATCAGAAGGCTGGCGGTTCAAACCCACCAGCCACTCCTGGGAAGGAAGATGAGGCAATCTACTTCCATAGTGATACTGCCTCGGAAACCCAAGAAGGGGTCTCTATGAGTCGGGTCTGACTCGATGGCACACAACAACAACAACAACAACACTTTTATTAGGGGGTAGGCCAGCATATACCCAAGAGTAAGCACTTCCTGAGGCTGCCAGTGGTCACGGAGTCATCCAGCAAACCTTTTTTTTTTTTTTCTTAAGGGAAGTGAGGAGTGTTAGATAGCAATAGCAATATACAGGACTAGATTAAATCTGAGCTTTTCATTTTGCCTAAATATCACTGTTACCTTGGTTTCATTTCTGGAGAGGAGACAGTGGCCCTGCTCTCCAGCAAGCATCATGGCAGTGCAGATGAACCTGTGTTTCTGTGGTCATACAGGGGTGTACATGTGTGTGGCACAGTTACAGGTGTCTCAGCAAAGTGAGATGTGTGTGTGTTCCATACATCTGTTGATTGGAGATGTAAGCAGATAATTCATGACTTTGTGCATTTTTCTTTCCTGCTGCAGTAATTTGATGGCATTCAGTATTAGGCACAATGTAAACAACTAAAGTTGTGCCTGTGTTGAGAACTCAATGGTAGCTTTCTTAAATTAATGACCAACTGCTGCCTTCACTTGGAGCTGTCAATCTTATTTGTTTGCTGAACTTGGCAAAGTGATGATGTTCTGGTTACCCAGTGCTGCTCTGACAAGAATATACCACAAATGGGATGGCCTTAACTAACAGGAGTTTATTCTCTTACAAATTGGAGGCTTTAAGTCCAAGTTCAAAGTGCCAGGCTCTAGGGGCTGGGTGAAAGTCCCTCAACCTTAAGGTCCAGCTCTGCCTCCTTCTCCTGGCACACTGGAGCTAGAGACATTTCTTCACTCAGACAGCTATTGGCTGCTGAGGCTGACAAACTCAAGGTTGACAAGTAAAAAGGCACAGGCCCGATGTTACCAAACCACATGGCAGGCCATTAACTTAAGTCCATTGTAAGTCCCAAGGTCAGCAGAGCATAACAAGCTGCTGAATAGCGACACGGCTACACGCAGGGTTCAAGCATACCATAAACCAGAGACTGTTTCCAAAGCTTCTCCTTATATACAGGAAGCAGACCACATACTCAAAGGCAGCAGCTCAGCTGCTCACAGTAGAGTCCATCATGGAGTTGATTACCACTCTCATTATGGGGAATACTACATCCAGCTGTCCAGCCACTCAACCAGGCCTAGCCAAGTTGACATACAACTTTAACTACCACAGATGAATAATGTTTAAGTTTGTTCTTGGCTTCCATATCCCCTTTTATTAATTTGAGAGACCTTTGATGGGCACTCACTCCAAGTTAGGACCTATACTGGGCACTAAGTAATCAAAGGTGAATAAGTCACATCTCTTCCCCTTAAGGAGCTCAGTCTTCCCCTAATTAAGCTTCATCAGAACAATAAGCTGAAGGATCCATCATACTGAGATATCAATAGATACAATCCACTCATACACAGGGGCCCAGAGACCCGGGAGGGTAGCACTGGTGCCTGGCACTGACTTGGCTTTGGAGCTCCCCCACTCTCTTTCATCCTGCTTACCCAGTACTTGCCCAGCCCTCTATTGGAGATTTGCTCATTTTCCCCAGTCTCTGCCTGTTGCTACTTTCCAGTGCATTCTTTCACACCCTTGATTTTGTCCCTTGCCCCTAATAGTTATTCTCTTTATCAGAGTCTCTGTTGGACTGTCCTGTTAAAAAAAAGGAATGGGTTCTATCTAATGGAGCCCATGGTTTCTCTAGTGAAGAAGTCAAGAAGAAGTGTCAGGGTCAAGCATCTGTTAAAAGCTGAACTAATTTCTCAAATCTCCCAGGAATATACAAAGCAGGTATATACACCCACAGCTGTTCCTACTGGCAGCATTCTAGGACTGAGTCTTAGAGATCAGGGATTGCATTTATTAATCTTTATATCTAATATAGCTTTGTTGAGTGATGTCCTTTGGTCTCAGGTGCAGGAAGTAGCAAGGGGGGAACAACTGCAGATTGAAAAACTCTATTCTAAATTTGCAGGCTGCATCACTACTGAAGGCGGACAACTGTCCCGGGCAGATACTCCAGCTTACGGAGGCTTACAGGGGCCATCATCCTTTTATCAAAGCCACCAGTCCCCAGTGGCTCAGCAAGAGGCCCTTAGCCACCCCTCACACAAGTTCCAGCCCCCAGCACTGTGTTCCTCATCTGTGTGCTGCTCCCACTGCTCCCCAGTCTCACCCTCCCTCAAAGGTCAGGCCCCTCCACCCAGCATACACCCAGCCCACAGCTTTAGGCAGCCCTCTGAGATGGTGCCTCAGCAGCTGGGGCCACTGCAATGCTCTACCCTGCTGCCTAGGGAGAAAGAGCTGGCCTGCAGTCCTCATCCACCAAAGCTGATGCAGCCCTGGCTGGAAACTCAGCCCCCTGTGGAGCAGGAGAGCACATCCCAGAGGCTGGGGCAGCAGCTGACTTCCCAGCCTGTATGCATTGTACCCCCGCAGGATGTTCAGCAAGGAGTCCAGGCACAGCCCACCTTACAGACACCCTCTATCCAAGTCCAGTTTGGCCACCACCAGAAGCTAAAGCTTAGCCACTTTCAGCAGCAGCCACAACAGCAGCTGCCACCTCCACCACCTCCACCACCTCCACCCCAGCAGCAGCCACCCCCACCTCCATCCCAGCATCTGGCTCCTAGTCAGCATGAGAACCCTCCTGGGCCTGCCTGTTCCCAGAACGTGGACATAATGCACCACAAGTTTGAGCTGGAGGAAATGCAGAAGGACCTGGAGCTTCTCCTTCAGGCTCAACAGCCTAGCCTGCAACTAAGTCAGACCAAATCTCCTCAGCATCTTCAGCAAACTATTGTGGGGCAGATCAACTACATCGTGAGGCAGCCAGCACCTGTCCAGTCCCAAAGCCAGGAGGACACCCTACAGGTGAGCCTTGGGGTGACTTAGGGCACATATTTTCCCCATCATAGAACAGCTCAGGGAACACAGCTTCCCCAGGCACAGGGTGGCACAGAAACACAATTTCTTCATCTTAGGGTAGCCTTGAACTGCTCACCTCTCATCTTAGGAAAGCTATAGAGAACATAGTTCCTGGTCCCAAAATAGATCTAGGCTCAACACTTCCACTCCATCCTGTCCTACTGTGAGACACTAGCGACCTTGCCAATGGATGGTATCTTATAAGCTGTGCTAGACTCTTGCCAGTGCTAGGATGGAAGTGAAGCTGTCTTTTATCTTTGTAACCTGCCAAGTACCCTGCTGTGAACTTAGAAATCCCAGATGGGGGAAGAGGAGAGCTTAAGGAGTAGAGTGAAGCTATGTCTCAGATGCTGGTGGGGAGCACTTTTATCACACTGCACAGATACGGAATTCACATTTGTTTCAAGTCTATTAAGATAAGTGTGTTTTATATGCACTACCCATGATGTTATTAGGCATTACCATCTGTATTTTATAGGTGCAGAAGTAGTGGTTCAGAGAGGGTAAGCACTTTACCTGGTGGTCATACAATATTGACTAGTAGAGCCAACACTGAGATCCATGTCTGCTGACTTTTCTGTAATGCCACAGAGGAGGCTTTGTTCTGTCCCTATGAAAGCTGCTCCTCTTTTATCTCTACTAAAAGTCAGGTAAAGAGGTGCAGTTTGTACTTCTGGAATCTTCGCTGGATTCCACATCTCCATTCTCAGCTCCTGCTTTTTTTTTTTTTTTTTGCCAGAGCCTCTTGTTACACCCCTTTACCCTACTCTTCTTCAGTCTTTCATAGTGGTGTTTCCTTTAAATCTGTAATCACAGTTACATCTTCAAAGCAACTCTACAGACTCTTACTTTATTATAAAATGTTAATACCTCACATTTATGCTTTAGCACTGACAACTTCAGATCACAGTTCAAATGTCTTCCCATGAGACTCAGTTCCTTTGAGGGGATAGGGAATAATTCTCATTATGGCAGAGATGAGTCTAGGGTTCATAGAGGACCATAAGCTAACTTTAAGTCAAAAGTGTATGATGATCACTAAGGGGAATGTGACAATTAGTTCAAAATTCTCAGTTTGGGTTCTAATCTAAGACTATCATATTAGAACATGGTCTTAAGAATAATTTATGTAACTGTATTTCTTAAAAAATTGTAAGTAGTTCACAATGTGTAGGTAGTGACAATGAGCAGGACAGGTTGGGCACTTCCAGCTGCTGCTGGTGTTGTTGGTAGTCTTTGTAGTGAAACCTACCCAGGTTCTTATTTTCTTCTCCAGGCTACAGATGAACCTCCAGCATCTGAGGGCCCAAAGCCATCTCTCCCTCTTGACAAGAATACTACTGCTGCCTTGACCCAGGCATCTGGGGAAGAAACCCCTCCCAGTGTCCCCCCACTGGACAGCACCATCCAGCACTCCTCTCCAACTGTGGTGAGAAAGGTACTAATGGAGCCTGCCTTCCCTGACCACATGGGATCCACCGCCAGCCAAGACCCTAGGGATCCGGATGAGGATAATTGGGTGGGGGGAGGAGTGTCCTTGTTTCATCCCTGGATGTTACACAGCCCTGACTCATGCCTTCTGTCCTAAGCAGTCAGTGACATAGGTTCTCCTCACCCCCATTTCTGCTCCCACATATACATTTAAATTGGAACCAACTGGGCTTCGTTTAGAGTAGAAGTGGAAAGGGAAAGACAGCCAATTTTTTGAATACTTACTCTGTGCCTGGGACTGTGCATGGTGCTTCACAAGCATTTTCTCACTTAACCCTCCCAACAGTTCTATGGGGTTTATTCCCATTTTATAGCTAAAGGAACTGAGGTCCGGGGCCCTACAGCTAGTAGATGACAGAGCTGAAGTTTATTCAAAACTGTGTTAGAATCCAAAGCCTGAACATTTTTCTCTCTGCAATGAAAATGGAGGAAAGAGCTCATAGGCCTCCACAACCCAAAAAGTTAGTTGGCCTTAGAATAGGAATCAATAGAGTTTGTTGGATGAGTGGTCTACATGTCCTGTAGATGCAGCTAAGCGTCTAGGAACCCTGAGATCTCTTGAAGATGAGCTATTGTGGGCTCGACTACCTACTCACCCACCAGCTTGCTGGAAGTGTTCACTTACCCTGGCAATAAACCAGAGTCGCATAACAACTCAGCTACCCTCCTCTACCCCACCCCACCTCTGCTTCCTCCCATATCATTCTTCCAGCTGAAATCTTAGTCCTGTGCCATGCCCTGCACCCACCCCTCCCTTTGTCTTTTGACCCTGTTCTACTTTTCCTATTGCCTTCTCTGGCTTGGTGCCCTCAGCCCTCCCAGTGCCTCCACCTAACCCTGTACTTGAAGCTCAGTACACTGCTGCACCTTCAGCCCTGCAGCATCCCTCTGGCCCTGCAGTCCCAGCCTTGGTACTTGCTCTGTGCCTAACCCCCCACCAAGTTTCCTCCAGGATCATCATTGCCGTGGATGGCTTATGTCAGTCTGGCTCAGTGATATTTGAGAAGAGAGTTTAGAAAAGGAAAGGATAACAAAATTGAAATGTTAAGTTAGAAATTCCTGGTGACTTCTGAAGTCTGGCAAGCCTCTGGTATTAGTGACTTTTTGTCTATGTCTTCCCTGTCTTACCCCGTTGAATATAGTTTGGCCTAGAAGCCTTGGAAGTGTTGTAAATAGGACTTTTGTGGCTCTTAATAGTTTAATCTATATTTAGGCAGGCCACTTGTCCATCCATTTAATTCATTTAATATTCAAAATAAATGTATTGATCTTCTAATATATGCCAAATATTCTGCTAGGTGCCGGGCATTGGTGAGTAAGAAGAATCTCAACTCTAAAATGGAGATTACAGTTTAGTGGGGGAGACAATTAAAGCAGCAGTAACAAAGTGTGATAAAGTGCTATGATCGTTTGGAAGGGGCACGTAATCCTGAGAGAGAAGGCTCTTCACAGAAAGCTTACTGTATACAGGAAATCATTTTAAACTGAGATTTGAAGGAGGAGAAGTTAGGTTAATGAAGGGGAAGAAGGGTGGGATGACACGAGAAAAGTTCAGAAGGAAGAAAAAGCCTGGGGCAGTTAGGGGGCTTCAAACAACTTGGCTTGGCAGGAGCAGGAGATACACTGGGAATGGAAATGATTGCAACCAGAAAGGTTGGAAGACCTTATAAATTATACTCTGGGGTTGAGAGTCAATCCTGGAGACTGTGAGGAATGAATGAAAGATTTCCAGCAAGGAGGGACATGGTTTGAATTAAATTTTACCAAGATTGCCTTAGCTGTGGTGAGAGAGACCAGAATAATACAAAGGAGAAGTGGGAGAGGTTGAATTAAACCAGTAATGATGGTAATGAAGAGGAGGTAAAGCTTTCAAGGGATGTTCAGGAGTTGATATTCGATAGACAATAGAAAGTGATAGAGAAGTCCTTTGGCTTGACACTCCAGCTTGTCTTGGCTCACTGGGTTGTCATTCACTGAGATGGGAACATAGGAAGAAGAGCATATTTTGGGAGAAGAAGAAGTTAAATTTTGAATTGTTAATGTTCTCTTGTGGAAGATATGTTAGAAGATGACCAGAAGGCAGTTAGCTATAGATGTCAGTAGTTGAGAAGAAGGTATGGCTATTCCCAGTGGTGGCAGAAACCACAAAGAAAAAGCTCCTTGTTAAACGACTCTCAGTTCTATACCCAGTAGAGAAGAAAGGAGCTCTGATAGTGTAGTGCCTAAGGTATTTGACAGCTAACCAGAAGGTTGATGGTTCAAACCCACCAGCTATTCTGTGGAAGGAAGACTGGGCAATCTACTTCTGTAAAGATTTACAGAATCTTTAGCCTCAGAAACCCAAAGGGGGTCACTGTGAGTCAGAATTCACTCGATGGCAGTGCAGTTTTTTTTCAGTTAGAGAGGAAAGGAGGTGAGCTTCATACAAGCTGGAGTATGCATTGCCTGTGTGGGTGGCCCAGAGGGCTCTCTGCTGCCCACCTGTGTGGCTGAATTCTTGGCAGTGGGGTTAGTGAAGATTCCAGAAACCCTAATTTCTCCTTTTGAGCTTCCCCTGACCCGTATTAACAGAGGTTCATGCAGAGGTTTGTGGGGGCAGGAGGCCTAGCATTTCTCAGATGCTTTAGGCTTCTTCATGGCTTGAATGCCCAGGAAAAGGATCCTGAGATTGACATTTTGACTTGAGGAACCTCTTAGTCTACCTGACTAAAAAAAGAGTACAGGTTATATGCAAAGCAATTTCAGTAAGAAAAAGGGCTTTCTTTTTGAGGGAATTTGTTGCCTTGAAGCTGGAGTTGGGTAGGGTAGAAGGTGTGAAGCTTAGAGATGCCAAACAACATTTTGAGCATCTTCTTTTTGAATGGTAATACTGTAATGTTTCCATTTCCCTCACCCCCTAGCCCCATAAGTTTTTTACATGGATTATTCCATTTTATCTATTGGTTTATCCTAGCAATACTATGAGGAAGCCACTTTCTTTTTTCCCTTTGAAAGATATGGAAACTGAGATACAGAGAGGTTAAGTCACCACCTAAGGGTTATATAGCTGGCCATAGGCAATGTTAGGTTGAGCACAAGTTCCTGTGTTCAATGACTAGGCTAATTGCCTCTCTTTGCGCACTGTGGTGGGAGAGGTAGGACTCCATTTGGCCTCTCACCTGCTGGATTTTCCTGTCTTTGAAAGTAGATTGGGGCTTTTCTGGGGAGAAGTCTTGGGACCCAGGCTAGTTTGGTTTCAGTTATCTTTATCTGGTAAAGATGTTTTGGAGGCTAGCCCCCTTGCGCCCTTTGCTGGCCTGTGAATTCCAGGGAAGTCAGAAGTCTATCTGAAGGTCACAACCGGAGGAACCTATGGATGGCGCTGGGCACCTCTCTGCATGTTCCCCAGGGTCTCATTCATGCTCTGAGCCACTCACTGAATTTATTGAGATAAAAGAAGGACTTTTGTTAAAACAGAGCAGCCATGCACAAGTACATTGGGGCTGGTGTTAAATGAGCTAATGGTGAAAAGAGAGATTGCCACTGAAATGAGATATAAAAATTCTAGAATGGGTTTTCTAGTAGCCTGAGCTCTGCCATCTCAGGAGCAGCTTATCCCATCACAGTATCTGGATCCAGCAGGATTTTTCTGAATGAACACTGACATTTGTCTGACAGTTGCTGTTGCCTGAGCTTCCTCATCTTGCTCCAGCTACTCCAAAAAAAAAGACCTTGGTTTCAACTCTACAAGAGAACCAACCCCTTATGTTTTAAGTGAAACAGGAAGACATTTTGATGGCTTCATTCCGTACTTCTGAACTAGTTGACTGGTGAAAACCACACAGAATCCTTTCCTCAAAGCTCTCATGGAATGAAGGAAAGAGACCTGAGCCCCGGTTCATCTATGAAAGGAGCCTCTTTTCTTCACATCGTGTAGCCCCAGATATTCAACGAAGGACTTTAGGCCATCACCTTATGGCTTGGGAGGATTCTGGGATGTAATTTCAAAACAGAAGCTGTAGGCATTCCTGTGATTCAGATTATTAAGAGTAAGGAAGAAGAACAGACTAATAACTCAGAAAAATAACAGTTACTCCATTATCAAAGCACATTCACTGCTAAGCTCTTAATTTGCTTCCACTAGGTGATCTAATGCAAATCAGTGATATCTGCAGTAGCTTGTGGGGGAGGAAATTGAAGCCCAGAGATGGGAAATTACATGCTTAAGCTCATAACCAAGCTCTGACACATGTGAGGACACACTAGATAACTTACCATCATAGTCTCCAAATCTACTGCTATAGACTAGAACATGGGTCCTCAATCTCACCAAATATCTTTCCTTATAGCTTGGCCCTGACAGTAGCTCTTCTCAGGATTTTTCCAGAGCCTGTTGAGGCTTTCTTAGGGTACAGCGTGCTTCTGGATCAACACCTGCAGAACCATACAGAGATCCACTCTGTTCTACTCAGAAGTCAAACCAAACTCTCAGGTTTGGTGTCCTGAATTCAGCACCCTCTGGGAAGCCAGTCTATTTAGTTCTTTTTTGCTTTCACTCACAGAACAAACCCAAGGTCTTTGTCTGGGTCTCTTGGTCTGGGAGAAAATAGGGCCTTGCTTCTAGGCCTTGGGCTGCTGGCCTGGGCAAAATACCACTGGCCTAGTTCTCAAAGGCTCAGTTTTTGAGGGTTCCATTCATTCTTTCTTTCACTTCAGATTTGCTAGAATCCACTTCTTTCTTTCTTCCACCTCCAACTCTGGCATCCTTTTTGTTTCTCGGTTCTCCCTGGATCATCAGGGCATTGGGTGCTCTTCAGTTCTTCTCTCTTCACTACCCATGGACCCTTTCCCACTTGACTGTGGCCAGTTAGCATATATCAGCATAGTTATATCCATAGGATAGGCACAGCCTTAATCAGTACAAGAGCTTTTCATTGAAATGGAGGAGCGCTGTCAACAAGAGCAGCG